ATATATAACAGAGAGTAATTTTAAGAGGCTATGAAATAAATTAATAGGAAAGTTATATACAGATTATTAAGGAAAGGTAGAATTTGGATTATATACATACATTAAAACCTATTGAAATTGTAGGTGTTCTTGACTGGGGATAATTCTCTTCAGAGTTTAGAGCAGAGTATCGCCACACTTTCATCCGGTGGAGGTTTCTGGGGACGAGGAAGGCAAGGAGAGTTAAGGGGTTTTTATAGTTAAGGCATTGCCTCAGGGTGCTGCAGCCACTTCTATGCTTCTGATTCACGGTTAGAAATCCAACTTTTTTGTAAAACCTTTTTTACCCCGATCACAACGATAACAACATAACAGTTATGTTTTCTGTTTTTCTCATAGATCTGATTAAAACTCGTGAAACATTTCCATGATAGCCCGGAATGAGCGGTGTAAAGAATTCACTCCGCTTCAGTTCAAGCACATTTACCCAGCACAAACCACCTGTGATACAGAGCCTGGACTTCCCAAATTTAATTTTGTATAAACTCTGTATAGAAAATGACATTGATATTTGTCTAAGTCTTAATAAAGCAATTATCTTCTTTTTTTTTGTTGTGTTTGTATTATTTGTATTTTAAATGTACAAGGATTTTATAATATAAAGTGTAAGAATTCAAAAATAATAATTATATGATGGCCTATTCATATTTCTAAGGACTGTATTTAACAAATAACAAATTCAACCTAAAGGAAATAGAGCAGTGGAAGCTTAAATACTTCACTGAACAGGTTATCATTGGAGGGGAGATTATTGTAGCTCCAGATGGATTGACTGATCGTTTTCCCACTGAATGGCAGCATCCTCTCATTGAGGATATTTTCATTCTCCAGTTTTAATCTGATTGTTGGAGATCAAGGAATCTGAGACAAAACACCTGATTAAATTCCTCAAGTAGACTATTGGTTGATTCCTTACATGATTTATAATATTGTGTGGTAAAATATCACCATCCCCTTTAACTGATCATTGCTGTCACTTTTGTTCTCTCTTTGACTAAATGTAAATCACCATCATCCTTTATTTGCTAATTGAACAAACCTCTGGCAAAATAGGGATTTCTGCACAGAAATTAGTAACCTCATTAAGAATATTTCATTGACGGAACTTTCACCTTTGAGGTAATAGGAATAGCTCAAATTTAGTGCTAAGAAAGTTACAGTCAGGTTTAGTAAACTGGTTTATAAAATTGAGTCAAAAAAACAATCACGACTGATTTATATCAACAATTATGTAGGAAGTCAATTCTATCATCTGAGGAGCAGCTTCGACCTGAGGAATTAAAATCTCACTTAAATAACTTCTTTCTAGTCAAAGTTCAGGGGACCTTCATTTGCTACAGGGCTTGTTGGATCCAGGAGGCTGAGAACTCTTCAGATTGCTTTCATATTGAAAAACAGCAGAACGAAAAATTGAGGCTTAATGGTGAGGTTTATTTAAACTTGCATTTTAGTTGTACCTCTGTTGTGATTTTATGTTTCTTTTCAATTTCCAGCCAGCTGGGAATTTATATTTCTGATACTTTAAGATGTTTTTTGCCCTCCCCAGTAGGGGTGTTAAAATATCTTATTTAATCAGATATTATTTCAGCTGTGTTAGAACAATAAATTAAAGAGTTATTCAAGCTCTAATCCTGGTCAAACAGTACATTCAGAAAATACATGGAATAAATACACGTCTGTTCAAAATATAGGAGTTTATTAACAAAAATCATTCAGCTCCAAGTCAAACATTTCAGTTTAACACTCTTAACTAAAACTAGTGAAACTCAACTAAACTAAACTACTATGTACAAAGAGGAAGGGGAAACATGGCTGAAAAATTATATATACAGTTTAATTTATATACAGTTTAAGATGGATCTTGGGTTTGAAACCAAAGTTTATCTGGAAGAATTTGGGATGTGATCAAATTAGCTTTTTACTCGTTCTAAAGAAATTGGAATGTTTTCAGACCAATTCACAATGCAAATCCATGAGGTGAATAAAACATTATTTGGCCAAATAATGTTTTATTAAATGATTTGCTTAATCAGGAACCAATAACCTTTAGTTAAATGATTCTTTACCCTCTTTGAAATAGCTAGCAGCGAATAGACATCAGGATTCCACTAAATGACTCTTGGTCATACTTGGTAATGAAAATGAAATGAGCATATGAGGAACACATGAACACTAATGTTATATCAGTGTTTAAATTCTTAGTGAAATCAAGCTGGGGTTCAAGAGATTCCACGGCTGATTCCACATCATCATGTCAAAAACTGGTTCCCAATGTCCAAACAGTATGATCATGGCATATGGCGCAACACTCCCTAGGGACCACATGTGATTGGTAATAATTACAGCGCTGTATGCAGACAGATATTAACCTGCTCACGCTGTCTGGAAAAAGCTGCAGCAGGTTTTTAATTTTTGTGTACAACTACACAAATTGTGTTGCACAAGCTGTTCATCAAAAACCTCTTACATTCTCACTTTTTCTATAAATGGTCCAGAACTATTGTTGCAAAATCAGATTTTTATTGTTCAGACTATCATGAAAAGATCAGGTACAGATTACATATTGGCAATAAAAAAACAAAAACAAAATTTTATTAGATTAGGGTCCCTTCAGGCTGCATTGTGAACATAGCCATAGTTAAATCCTTCATTCCTCTAGTTGCTTGGTTGTAGCGGCTCTGGACACACACAGTTATAGCAACTGAAACACTTGTTTTATCAGGTGCCAAACCAACTGGGCCAGAATACGTACCTACATTATTTCCTAATCTAAGTTCTCCAACAAGCAAAGGAGGATTTATCCAATGGCCAGATTTGAACACACTCAGGCTCTAAAAAGTAAAAAAGATTAATGCTGACTGAGGAGCAACAGGAAAGACTGGAGAAGACAGAAGGTACAGCTTTAGTTTGTCTGAAAATATCAGAGAAAACATGGAAAAAATAAATTGTAATTTATATGAAACTATATAAAGAAGCACATTTTTACAATCCAAGAGGTTTTTATTGCTGCTCATTCATCAATTTAGAAGCGATTACAATAATTAAAAACATCCACAGCAGAATATAATACATAAAATCAGTTGTATAAAATAGGTGATAGTTACTTTCAATCATAGCAGGTAAATAGAACATCTACAGAATCAAGAACAAAACTATTAGAATTAGTTCAAAGGAAAATTATACTTTCAAAAAATCTTTAAAAAGCAGAAACTTCACACTTCTAGAGGAGAGTCAGATTTCTTTAATACATTATAAAGACAAAGGCTCTTTACCAAGTTAAAGCAGGTTCAAACTGATCAGTAAAAAAATAAAATAAACATCATCAATCAGGTTTATCTTTTCAAACAAACATGTTTCATCATTTTAGGACTTTAATTTACCTGAACTACAGACTCCAGCCTCTAAACTGAGTGAACCTCCAAGCAGCTCTGGACTAGAGCTGGGAAACCCAAAGCCAAGGTCTGTTCAAATAAGACGTGAGACGCTGAAGCAGCAAACGGACTCTGCTGATGAACTAATCTCCAGAACCAACAGAGACTCTCCCAAAGCTAACCTCAAGAACCCTCAAGGTACAATCAGTAAACTTCAGGAAATCAAACCTCTGTTGACAACGCTAACTGAACTGTCTCTCACGCAGACTCCGGTGAACCAGAATCCAGGCCCCGAACCTGAACCAGTATATACTGTGTGCTTGTGCATAAATAAACTGTTAAACTTTCATCCTTGTGTCCGTCAGTGGTGTTCTGCACTCTTGGGTCGCTTTTAGTGAACCCATCATGACATGTTACACACTTCTCTGAATCACACTTTGACTTTTAAAGAGGTCTCTTATTTCTCTGTTTTTCCAGACATCTTGGCTGCGAGTCTAATGCCCAAAGCACCCACATGACACAAATTCAAAAATGGGATGAAATTAACACATCTAATATTACAACCCTTCTAGATGTCATCACCCAATAATTCACCTTTTTCCTCCCTGTTTGCAACTTCTGTAACTTCTATGCCAATATGTGATGTGTGAATTTCTCCGCTGTGAGATCAATAAAGCTCATCTAATCTAATCTAATCTAACTATGACAGAAAAGAGACTATAAAGTTTGGCTCTACTCAGCATTGAATCAAAACGCACAAAGGCATTAGATCTAGATACATTTGTGAGGCGTTTTGCTGAGCAAGTCCTGCCCTGAGGAGTTGGCCCTCCTGTATGCGCCTGTGTAGTGGTTGCTTCTCTCTCTAATATAAAGGTCTGAGTGTCTTGTCTTTGGAGTGAACCAGTTTTTGTCTCAGGGTTTTGCCAGGTTTGAAGTGCACATAGATCTGGTGCTGGTTGAAATTCCTCCTGAGCTTTTTAGAGACTCCAGCAGTATAGGGAATAAAGATGTTCCTTCTTCTGTTCTCTTCCTTCTCAGCAAATGTCTTCTTGTTGATTTTTAGAAAAGCCCATCTGGGATAATCGCAGTTCTGAAGGGATGCCCTAATGTGTCCGTGTTCTCTCACCTTCCCTCTGCTGGTGGTGGGAATGGTTTCTGCTCATGTCTGCAGGGTCCTAATGACGCCTAGGTTGTGTTCCAGTGGGTGGCAGGAGTCAAAACGGAGGAAGTGGTCGTTGTCTGTGGGTTTCCTGTAGACTTCTACGTTAACTTGTCTATCTTCCATGATGTGTATCACGCCAAGCCTGTCATCTTTCATCATCCTGGATAAAAAAACAACACTCCCACCACCTACAGAGAAAACTTTACGTCCAGTTGCCTAAACTGAGTATGTCAAGCTTCACAAAAAAATAATAAAAGAATTTTCTTGACTTGATTATTGAATATTTTAATAAAATACAACAATATTTTCCACAAAAAATTGGTTTTATTATTTCAACCTACTTACAACAAAATTACTAAAGACAATAGGCAATAAATTAAGACATAAATGAAGATCATTGAAATAACATTAATTTACAGAAACATAGTGAGTTCATGTCAAACAGACTGAATTCATCGAAACAGATAAAACTGCTGTCCTTCAGACACCCTTTGTTGTTTTTCTAGTAAAGGTTGTTCTTTTTGTTGAAACTTCTACTTCCTCTGTCTGGATTTCCAGAAAGCGGTGCAAACACTCAGAATCATAATCAACAACAAAGAACATACAGCTGCAAGGTAGCCATGTTGTAAAAGAACCTCGGCTGAACCTGGAAGGAGACAAACGTCAAATCATTCAGTTCATTCACAGTCCGTTATCTAATAAAACATTACATTTATTTTATAAATAATGAAGGTAGAAATGCCTTTTATAACCTGTTTTAAAATGATAGGAAACAACAGTATGCTAGATATCCAGGATTCTATGACTGAACCCAATGCCGTGACGAGATGACATCAGCTACGACCTTAGATAGGCGATCCCATAAATGTAGGAGGGGCTTAAGGACTTCTGTTGGCCAACTTTACTTCTATTAAGCTTAATGCTACATCCAGACCCGCGTGCGCTAGAGGCAGGAGAAGCAGAAATTCGATGGTTGAAGCACACCAAGGCGCAGCAAAAGGTCCTGCAGCGCATTTCCAGCAGCAGGAGCAGCGCTTCATGAGCTTCTCAGCATTTGACGGGTATCAAAAGCAGCATCTGCTGAAGTTGAAAAATGTAACTTTTGCTGCTGGATGCACCACATCAACCAATCAGAGAAGCTGATCTGGGAGCTGGCAGGGAGACAGACACAGCGCTGCTGATGCAGAGCGCTATGATCGCTCCTCTAAAACAGTTTATTAACGCCTAAATTAACTTAAAATGTAGAAACCTGCCAGCAAAATATGTTCGATTTTATTATCCTGGTGCCTGCAGTTTGGATTACGTACGTGGAAAAACGCCTTCAAGCTGCTGCGAACAGTAGCAAAAACCGCAAAGAGGCGACCGGGACAGAGGCTGCTGTTGTTGGGGAGTTCAAGGGACAGAGCACCATCGTAATATGCTGTTGGAGACGGTCTGACAACGAAATAATATTTGAAGGCAGGATGGTAATCTGGATGATCTGACTGCACAGAGAAGGTTTTCAGGTGGACCTTCTCACCTAAAAAACATATTTAAACAACTGTTTACCCACTGATCACAGCAAATATCGAAAAGCTGCTCTCTGCCATTGAACACAGGAGCAGCAGAAGTATCAGATGCTTCTGGACACACTTTACTGGACGTCTGACCTTAATGTGTTCAAGCATTAGGCTATAGATGAAGCAGCAGAACCTTTATGCTGCTTTTAGTGCTTGTGGTCTGAATGTAGCATTATTCATTAAAATAAGCCAAGCATCAACTTCCTCCGCTATTGTTACAGGAAAAGAAAGGATAAAGTAGCTCCGCCAAAATGCATCAGACCCCTTTTCAATCGCACAGCTAGAGCAGCAAAGATGCTTAAGCCGCATGTCAGAACTAAACTTGACAAGCATAAAAAATGAAGCACTGCTGCCTTGCAGCAAGAAGGTCCTGGGTTCGATACCCAGCCTGGCTCGGGGTCTTTCTCTAAAAACCTGACTGTTAGGTTAACTGGCTTTTCTAAATTCTCCTTAGGTGTTAGTGTGTGTGTGAATGGTTGTTTGTCCTGTTTGTCTCTGTGTTGCCCTGTGATGGACTGGCGACCTGTCCAGGGTGGACCCCGCCTCTCGCCCGTAGACAGCTGGAGTTAGGCACCAGCACCCTTTGCGACCCCACTTGGGATTAAACGTGTCAGAAAATGGATGGATGGATGGCTAATTATAAAAAGTAGTTGTAAAGAAATAGTAAAAATGCTGATGAAGTTTGCTGTAATATTAGTCTGGTAGCTTCCTAGAGCGGTCCTCCTGACATAAAGCTAAAATCTGCAGTTCAGACATATTGGAAAATGATTTCAGGAATGCTTACTGTAAATCCTTGTTCCTTTTCCAATGATCACCCCTGAATTCACGCCGCCGATACAGTAGTACAGGCCCAGGTCCCCCGCTTCCACTCCAGTGATCCTCAGAGCCAGGGATCGGTTCATCAGGCCCACTGAATGCCGAGGACTGAGCCGAAACGCTAAAAACATCAATGGCAGGCATAAGTGTTTGGATCGTAGCGTGCCCCGTATTAAGGTTTCAGATTCTGCCCTACATTCATGCGGTCGTCCGTCTTTGAGGTTGGCGTACAGGATCACCGTAGGAATGAGGTCTGGGTTTTGTTTGAGCCACGTTGTGGCATAGAGGTAGGAGACGTTACAGCCCAGAGTGATGTTAGAGCCAAAGTGGACGAGCTGGAACTCAGCAGCTGGAACCGACAGGGACAGCATCCCAAACCCGGACATGATAACCAAACCTGGAAGGGATCAAAGCAGGAATAGTTTACGTGGACCTAAACAGGCGGCTTGTTCCTCATCAGCCGCCCAGAGGTAAACGGTCAAGTTCATGGCAAAAAATCGACATTTAGATAAGTAAGTTGTTCTTAAAAAAGGGCATTTGTTGTTGAATTGAGGAGGTAAAAGAGACATTTTGCCAATGGAACAAGACAATTTACATTTAAAATAAGAAAACACAATTGTATTTTCCTATTTCAAGTTCTTCTTATGTAATTATCTTATATTAAGAATAAAAATACTAATTCCATTGGCAAACCATCTCATTTACCTACTCAGATTAAGGGCAAATACACTTCATTTAAGACATTTGTACTTATTCCTAGGTTGTTTTTCCAGTGTTTCAATGATTTTAGAAGAAAACCTTCCTCTAACTGTATTAACCTGAGTGGATGTGCAGGGCAGCAGATTAATTAAAGGAATAGTACACCCAAAACATGATTAGCCTTCATTTTCTACTCACCCCCATGCTGAACAACACTCTGGAGTACTTTTTTGATATCTCAAATGCATCTGGAGATCTGGGAGGCTTCTTGCTGTCTGCTGACATTCAAATAATGGAGGTCTATTGTGCCCGAGACAGAAAGGTCCATAAAAGTCCACAAAAAACGTGTCAATATTCAGACAGCAAGAAGCCTCCCAGATCTCCAGATGCATTTGAGATATCAAAAAAGTACTCCAGAGTGTTGTTCACCATGGGGGTGAGTAGAAAATGAAGGCTAATCATGTTTTGGGTGTACTATTCCTTTAAGCTTAGACTTAGACTAACCTTATTGTTATTTCCTATACACCGAGTGTATACAGAAAAATTACGCTGCTTACAGCTTAAAACTGTGAAATGAGCAGTTGACAACATTGAAACAAACATGAGCGTTTTCAAAGGGCAGCAGTGATCTATGCAGTAGAACATTGGGTTTTGTTCAATTTAAAAGGCTCTTAAAAGTTTCAGACATGTTGGTAGTGCAAAATAATGTTGAAAGTTTGATGAGTCCAGTTTAGAGTTCAACAGTCCGACGGCAGCGAGAAAAAAGCTGTTGCAGAATCTGCTTGTCCTGCATCGAATGCTGCGAAGCCTCTTTTCAGATGGCAGCAGGGAGAACAGTCCAATGCAAAAAAATGAACTGTTATTTACCAGTTTAACAAAAAAAAACAACTTAAAATGCATTTATAGTTTGATTTAATGAAAGCAAACTTACAGGCTGCCATGTTGGATGACTTATGCTAGGCGTATCACCAACACCGTTATGTCAGCACTAATGTTCTTCGTATGGAAGCAGCCACCGGCCATGGAGGCTGTAGACATATTAGATCTGAGGGTCAACTACAGCCTCAGCCAATATGGGTCGGTTGGCCCCTAAAGTCAGACTGGATGGGTACATCAGGAGGTAATGATGGGACGTGTGAGGGTTTCTACTGAATATCAGCATCAGGTCAGCAGATGCCGCAACATGCTTCTGCTGCCTTCGGGCAAGTGACTTTCACATTTCATTTGCCCAGAAACAATTTTTACTTGCCCTGTATAATGTTTGATAAATATAGTTACTAATATTCATTCCTGTATATATATATATATATATATATATATATCAATGAAACATGTTTGTTTTTTTAAATGTTTTTTGTAATTCAGTATTTTTTAAGTTGACAGGTTCCTGGTGTGTATATGCATGCGTCAGATAATGAACTCAAGCCTACATTACCGTGTTAACAAGCTTTTTAATCCTTCCTGCACATTCTTTTCAAACTAAACTTTGCTTTAAACTGTTGTGTGCTTGGAAAAATATAAATTGTAATGTTAAAAATCTAAAGAAAACTTGACAGGTTAAAAACTTAAGATAAATCACGCAAGAATGTGTACAAAACAACAAAAATGGCACCAGCAACGCTTCTGGGTCGTTTTCATCGAATGCCGGTGATTTTAAAGTAATTTTGAGTGATAAATATTATTTTGTTTGCGATTATTGCACTTGCCCGGCGGGCAATGCAATGAAATTTGTACTCTCCCAAAAATAAAGACTACTTGCTCTGGGCATCCAGCCCTGTGGTCTAAATAAAAGCAGATATCAGCAGTAGTTTCTATTTAAGCTTTTGCCGCAAAAACAATCTAGAGAGAAGTAGAAATGACTTCAATTACATGTGTTTACCCTTAATGTGAGCTGGTAAATAAGATGATTTGCCAATGCAACCAGTATTTTTACTCTTAAAATAAGATAATTGGATAATATGTACTTGAAATAATACAATGCAATTGTTTTTTCTTATTTTAAATCTAAATAGTCTTGATTCATTTGCAAAGTGCCTCACTTCCTCAATTTAAGAAGAAATACACTTATTATAGGAAAAAATTACTTATTCAGATTTCAATTTTTTGCAGTGTAAACACAGCTTTACAAAAAAGAAAAGAAAAAGTAATGTAATGAAAAGTTAATATAATGAAATGGGAAGGCAGAGAAAATGGAAAAAGATTTTCCAAGTCTACAACTTATCATCCATTTTCCATCTATTATCATGTCATAAGGTAAGATAAGAAACAGCGTTTTTGTCCCACTGTGAGGAACATTTGCTGTGAAAATTAGACTAAAGAGAAGAACAGAAATCAAAAATTTAAGAACAGTAGCACAAAAATATCTACCAGAGAGAAAAAGAGATGGTTGTTTATTTTCTAACTTTCATTTCCTCACTGGTAGAGTATTTTAAATGTAATTTTTATATAAATTATAAAAGGTTTTTCCCTGCAAACAAAAATGTAGATATTTCTGCTAACATCTACTTGTTAAAGATAGATTTCTCTAAAATCTCCGTACGTGGAAAATGAATCAAATGAATGAAAAGTTCAACTAACTATCAAACTTTAGACCTAACAAAACAAAAACAAAGACTAACCTTAATCATCATACTGCTAGAACTTTATAATTTTTATATAGGTTCTGGGTTTTTTTACGCTCCAGGTTATTTATATCTGACTTCTTCCCTCTTTAAATCCATTTTGACTTAATGTTCGGATGTTCAAATACGCATATAGAGTATTTACCATCGGATGCCTATTAGCCAATGGATTCTGTGCTCAGATTCCACATCTTCATGGAGGTTTGTAATATTTAAAACATCCAAATCAATTTCTGCTCATCCAGAACAAATAGAGGATGAACCAATAACTTCTACTGACTAAACTTATATCAATCACAAAGTAAACGTTTTGTTAATGACTTACTTATGAGAATCTTCATGATCCAGTCTGCCTTCATCCTGTCTTTGTTGTTCTGTCACTGACATCAGTTGTTTTCTGCAGACCACACTGACTTCCTCTTAACTGCCTCTCACCTACTCTTTCCACTTAAAGCCCACTTCTCTAGATTTTAGGTCCTCATGTCCAGATCCTCTTTCAGATTATGTTTAAACAACATTTCCTTCTTTTACAGAATCGTGGGCATTTCAAAGTTCAAGGCTTTGTATTCCCATAGGTGGATCATTAACACTGCTATGTATAACATCTACAGATAAATTGGCCTCCTCTTAGTGACTTGTTTTGTGCAGAGTCTCAAATGGCTAAACAGGAAGTGGAAACCACAGAAGTGACAGGTAGTCTAAGAGCTGCACTAATAGTGTAAAAACAGAGATTAGTGATGTAAATAGAAGTAAAGTCAACCAAACTCCAACATGTTTGTTGCTTCTTCTTTTCTAAATGAAGGGTTTAGGGATTGAGGATGTGTGGTAAACATTCAAGATGTCACATTAAGCAAACAAATCTTTATCATAATGATATTGTCTCTGCTGAGTGGAGCATTGATCAGCACTGCTGCCTTGCAGCAAGAAGATCAAAGGCTTGATTCCCAGTCTGGCTCTTTCTGCATGGAGTTTGCATGTTCTCCCTGAGCATGTATGGGTTCTCTCCAGGTACTCCAGCTTCCTCCCACAGTCCAAAAACATGACTGTTAGGTTTATTGGCTTCTCTTAATCCTCTTAGATGTGGGTGTGCGTGAATGGTTGTTTGTCTCTGTGTTACCCTGCGATGGACTGGCGACCTGTCCAGGGTGGACCCCGCCTCTTACCTGTAGACAGCTGGAGATAGCTGGGATAAGCGTGACAGAAAATGGATGGGTATTGTTTATAATCCATCCATTCATCTGCTAGAAGTTCCTATGACAGCTTTTCTAATCAGTGTGTCACCATCTGGACTGAAACGGTTTGAAATGTCACATAGTATGGCTGTCATAGTTAAGGGAGGGATGGTAAATGCTAGAGACAGACAGCTGCAGGAGGCCGATGCTGAGACTGAGTTTGACATCAGTCTATCTGGTCCCTAAATATGTGCTGCAGACGATTTTGAACGATTTTGAACATTTCAATTAATAGAAAAATTTGCAGGGGGGGGAATTAACAAAAAATGGAATCAACCAAAACTTTCTCGACCATGCAGTACCTCCGAGGACCCCCTCGGGGTCGTGGACCCCCTGTTGAAGACCTCTGATCTAGAATACAAACAAGCTCTTGAACATCCCCTAAAAAGGGCTTTTTGTTCTTGTCAAATCAAATATAACAGATTGAATGAGATTTAAATAAGTTTTTTTTAGTATGATTTTGTTGATGTTTCTTTTTGATAGTTATAAAAACATGTTTTTATTAGACATATTCTATATGGTATTGGTTATTATCTAAAGCGTAGCTTGCGTAATTTTTTACATATTTATAAAGTCAGTACATCTCTGCAGTTTAAGGAAGTCAACTACTGCATAGTTTTCCCTTAGCTCTCTACTGTCCATATATTTTTATATCTAAAGGAAACATAATCCAGGACATTACAACATTTTTAATGCTATTTTGTACTATATACACTCTTTTTATATGTCTCTTGTATGTTTATCTTTAATGGCATCTTGCTGTAACACTTTGTACTCTATATAAGCTACAGTAACCCAAATTTTCCTGAAGGAATAATTCCATGGGAATAAATAAAGTTGAGTCTAAGTCTAAAGTTGTGTGCCTCAACATACACACAACCCTATTACTAAAAACCTTTAGGCCACTTGGAAGAAAAAAAAAAGGTTTGTTAGAAATGACATTGTCCAACTGATCAGGGTTCCACCATAGTCAGTACATAATAAACATGATGTCAACCCTTTGCAGCTGGAACAGCTTCAGTTCATCTGGGACGGCTGGCCACAAGGTTTAGGAGTTTTTAAGGGAATATTTGAGCATTCTTCCAGAAGGCCTGGCTTTCACTGGGATGTTTAGGAATTTCTCGACTGGATCTGTTGCATAATTGGTATCCAATCAAAAGGCAAATTTATTTGCATAGCAGAGTCCATCACAAAGATGATTCAAGATTAACAAAACAGAAAAGAAGCAAATATAAAAGAAGAATAAAAGCAAGATAAGATGAAAAAATATATAAGAGCAGGTAGTAAAGCAAATAAAACAGGTGGATCACAAACTTAAACAAATGATACCCAAGTTAACGATTTAACTGCAACTAAGGAACACAAATGGGATCTATCTATCTATCTATCTATCTATCTATCTATCTATCTATCTATCTATCTATCTATCTATCTATCTATCTATCTATCTATCTATCTATCTATCTATCTATCTATCTATCTATCTATCTATCTATCTATCTATCTATCTATCTATCTATCTATCTATCTATCTATCTATCTATCTATCTATCTATCTATCTACATAGAAATATATCTGGGAATCACAGTCAGTTTTAATCGCCAAATTATGACACACATGAACATATGAATGAAAATGTTGGCAAAACATTTCATTTAAAGACTCCTACGTCATCATGTAGGATAGCCAATAGCTGCACTCGTTGCTGAGGAGTGGGTCACAGCACGAGCTTCATGTTATTCTGATGACAGGAGAGCAAACAGCTCTGTGGACCCAATAAAGGCTGCTCTCTGTGTCCCGCTGAATTAAGCTGCAGTTCTGTGGGTATAAAAGTTGATCTTTTTCTCCCGCTGCGGGCTGAGAGGACCAGAGGAAACCGGAAGCTGAACGAACAGAGGTAAACGTTTAGTTAGCATTAGCATGTTTGCAGCTGTCACTGGAGCTGTCAGAGTTGAAGCAGCTAACATGTAACTAAGCTGCTATCTTAGACGGTGAATCACAGTTTGTATCTGTTTTCACATTTAGCTTAGCTAACAGTTAGCTGGTTTATACCACTGGCAGACTCAGGATTAATAGGTTTTTATTCAGTCAGTGGAATGACGGCTAGCATTAGCCTGGTTAGCTACCACCAGCATAAAGCTTGGTACAACACAGTTTATCTTCCTCTGTCTTGTTAAAAGTAGCTCTACCAGCTGCTGTTTACAGAGTGACTTATGAAAACTAGTTTTTATTTGCTCAGTTGATGTTTGTTCTGGGATTACTTGATGTTTTTGAACCGGGAAGTCCCATTAGGAGTATAATCTGTTAAAGATAGCAGCCTTTAAAAAAACTACAAACCATGCAGCAGAGGCCTGTCTACAGACATATGTTCAGGCTAAACATTTTAATCCGAAAAAGCTGTTTTAAATATTTTAGTCTCTGTTTGAATGACACCAGACAATTGTTTTCAGAAATGATTTTTGCAAAAGTATTTTTAAGACATTATAGAAAACATTATAGAAAATAGTAAAGTAGATTTATTTTCTAGATTAACTGCTAAGATATTTGCTCTTTAAAACCAATTCTGTGTTTTCTTTATCCTTTGACCTCCCTTTAAGATAATAAAAGAGCTTCATCTTGTCAATGAGGCATAAATGCATAAATCTGGTTAATCAGATTATTATAGATCAAATAAAGATTAGGGACATAAAATAAATGTAAATATTTGCTTGTAATCTTTCAAGCTTTCCCTTTAAAAGAAAAGCAGTAGAACATTCATGCTTGTTTTACATTGCGTGTAATAATAACAAAAACTGTATACACAGTGTAACATAAATATCTGAATAAGATAGGAGGTGATGTTAGTAATATAAGGAAGAAGAATAGTCGGGCTTTAATAAAAAAATATAACATTTTATCAATAGAATAAGATTAAAGATTATACATATTAATTGTGCTGTTTTATTGTTGAATTCAATAATTCTGCTGCAGTAGGCCTGATAAGAAAAATAGAAACCATGCTTTCAGTGGATGATGAGCTATTGCATATAATAGCTCTTTGATAACCCCCCTCCTGCTAAAGTAGTGTAGTAGAGGAAAACTATAAGAAGATTAGAAAATCCTTTGATAAAAGCTATTTTACTGAGAACATGAGGAGATTAGCTGAGCAGCTCACCTTCATGGCGTTGAAAACAGGGTGAGCAGGTTTGTGGCGGTGGGTGTGGCTTGCAGTGACGATGGCATGGAGATCTTTTTGTTTCTCTCACCTCTGGATCAGATCCCCTCTGTTCTCCCCCTCAGGTTCTGTTCTCATTCACTTCATGCTGCTGCTGGCTGCAGTTTCCTTTATTTGCTCTGCTGCAGATTTTTTGTTTTGTTTTTAACAATGTGTTCCTGACCTCCACCTGAACCACAGCTCTGAACTTCTGTGTTAGAGAACAGCTATTAGCCATTTTCTCTGTTTGGTGTGTTCTACCATGTGTAAAGGAAAGCTTTGTGTTTACACCTTTAAGCTTTCTCTCTCTGCTTCATTTCCTGAGAAGAGATCACTAAGGACAAACTCTTGACTCTTATGATGTATATCTATTAAATAACCAGGAGACATGGCAGCTAGGTGGGAGTATTGGCATCGGTGTTACGATACGATATATGACAAGATACTTGGGTCACGATTAGGGCTGGGTAAAAAAATAGATTTGATTGATTTTGAATCGATTCCTTTACATTTTTGCCAAATCGATGTCTAGGGAATGAGATCGGTTAGTTTTATAGTGACGCGTGTGACGTTCACATTCAAATGAGCAGGAAAGATGCACTCAAGATTATTTAAAGCCAGACAGCTGCAAATATAGCCAATAGGTTGACTGAAGACATTAACAAATGGGGGCTGACCAGCAAAAAAAAACTCTGTAATTGCTACAGACAATGCTGCAAATATGGTTTGTGCAGTGAAGATAATGCAACTCATGCATGTCTGCTTTGACACATCTGCTTACTCGAGTGAGGCTTTACTTTTCACAAACAAAACAGTTTTGTTCACATCTCAACTTTAAACTGTCTGATTTACAAGTTTGCACTTTGTGTTTAATGTGACAGGAAAAAATAAAATACATGAGTACTTTGAAACACAGTTGAACCACTTTCATTATTGTAAAAACAGATTAAATAGATTTAGAACTGTATCAATCAAAATCGAATCGATTCAGGACTTTTAACGATTAAAAAAAAGCAACCTCTTTATATGTTTATCAGATGACATTGATGGTTCAGTTACTGTGGTATCCATGTTGCTTGGGGTTTGTTTTGCTGTCTTGCTTAAAAAAATCGATACTAGGAATGGAAAGATTGATATTATATCAGGCAGCCAAAAATCACGACATATTGCTCAACAATTTCTTTTCCACACCCCTAATGACGACAGATGTAGACAGAAATTGTAATCTTACTCAGATCAGGGAAGCTGCTTAGAGTTACAGAAGGCAGCTGCTCACAAACCTGGCTTACGTCTCTTGAAGTGGCCTCGGATTAGAGTTAAACAAGCATTTTATGCATCTCCAGTTTATCACATCATTACATCATACATGTTTGTAAATAAGGAGACTTCCATGGCTCCAGCCTTATCGAAATATTTCACTCAGTTCTTAGCTGAAGGACGCTGCTCTCATTCCATTTCCAAATATTTTTGACATGTAGAATGAAGATGACTTTTTATCCAGACAGAGGAACCGTTCTAATTGGATAAACTATGTGGGGAAACATCACTTCTGACACGCAACAGGCAGCTGATATTAGGGCTTAACAGACCCACTCATCATCAATTAGAATAATCCTGACATTTCTAGATATGAGGCTGAGTAATGTCAGAGATGGCAAAAGTACTCACTTTCCGTACTTGAGTAAAAGTACAGATACTTGTGTTAAAAAATACTCTGGTAAAAGTGGAAGTACTGATTAAACTTCTTTACTCAAGTAAAAGTAACAAAGTACAGGCTTGTAAATTTACTTAAAGTATAAAAGTAAAAGTAGAAACTATTTTTTTCATGCCGTTGCCTACATTTTAAATGGATGTCTGCCAATAGGACTAGATCTCCGTTGTGTTCATTTTCAATCATCTCGTCGTCCATACTACTATGCTAACGCCACCGCCACCAAGCTGCAATGATTTGCCGCGAATGAATACCCCCGAATCTGTCGATTCATCATGTAGTGGTGCGTCAAATGCAACGTATATTCCCATCCAATTAGATTGAATTTGGTATTGATGACGTGAAAAATAACGGTAACTCCATTGAAATGATTCAAAACTGAAGTAACGAGCTAATTTTTTAAAATGTAAGGAGTAGAAAGTACAGATATTTGTATAAAAATGTAAGAAGGAGAAGTAAAAAGTTGCCATAAAATTAAGGAGTAAAGTAAAAATATCAGAAAAATCTACTTGAGTACAGTAACGAAGTATTTGTACTTCGTTACTTCCCATCTCTGAGTAATTTACATGTTGGAGGAATGTGATTGGTCGAATTGTCCTGCTTGGCTGTTGTTGTTTGTTTTGCTCTTGACTTTAACGTCAGAAATCTGACGCTCTGCGCATTTGTGTCATAAATGATAACAATAAAACAACGCCTAGCTGATGCATTTACCTTCTGTACTTCTACTGATATGTTTCCCATCAAACTGTTTACTTTAAACAGTCCAGGCGGCGCTCTGAGTAAAAGACCCATAGAAATGTTCCAGTGATGAGTTTTTCTGTTGTTCCCATCATGCATCTGGCCTGTGAGTTTGCACTGTGATGAATGATGCAGGCTGGGCCTCAAATGATAAATACATGCTGAAGCATAACACAGATACAACAAAATAAAAGTTACCTGAAGTATAGAAATGACATACATGTGTGTTATGTTTTTAGGATGGCGGGAGTGTTTGACATCGACCTGGAGACGGAGGACATCAGCGACACAGAGGTCAGCCTTTCATTAGCATCTCTAACGGCTCAGAAACGGTTTGATGGAATCACTTTAACTTCCTTCTTCTGTCTGCAGGATGATGCCTGTGAGCTGACTGTCGTGGAACCCGACAGGTAAGTTCAGGAGGTTTAAGTTCAGGGGGAAGCGGGTGCTGATGATCCGACCAAAAGGTTTCTTCTGCTCTGTTGTCATGGCAGCGCTCAAACCGAGGAGGTGGAGCTCACCAGTGAGAGCGTCAACAGAGACAGCGAGAGAGTCGGACCCGATTGTTTCGAGCTCCTTAGGGTGCTGGGGAAAGGAGCCTATGGCAAGGTGACTGTGACCACGGACGTTTGTCAATATGTGTACTTGTGTGTTCTCATGTAGGGATGCACGATATAATCGGCCCCCTATCGGTATCGGCCTGTATCGGCCTTAAAACTGAATATCGGACATCGGCCACCCCACCGATATTTAACCCGATATTTGATCAGCCTCTGAGTTTCTAAAGTCAAAAAAAAAAAAAGAAAATACAACTTCTTCTTCTTCCTCAAAAAATTATTCTTTACAGACTTAAAAACTTCTAAAGACGAGGGAAAAAATATTGATACATTAAAATATCACAATATCTTCATATGCTGATATATTGCCATTTAAAAACACCATATCAATCTCTTTTACTAATGAATATTGCTATATGTCATCGTTATGCTACGAAATCCCCCGAAAATTCACGAAATTTTGCCATATTTTTATATGTTGATATATTGACTCAGTATCGATCTATTTTACTAACAAAATCTCACAAGAATTTGCAAAATATCGCGAGAGTTTGTAACAGAACAAAGAAATTTCACGAGATTTTGAAAGGGAAATAGATCGATACCGCGTTTTTAAAAATCTATTTGATATCAGCATATGAAAATATACAGTATTTGAGTATATTATTTTTCAAAGTGTCAGAAATGGATAACAAAACTGCTATTTTCAATGATTACTTATTTTTGTCCAGCTTTAATATCGGTATCGGTTATCGGCTACATGAGTTTTAAAATATCGGCATATCGGATATCGGCCAAAATCCCAATATCGTGCATCCCTATCCTCATGTGCTCGTGAAACGCCATCAGCCTCAGCCCTAGTACTGTTCCAATTCACACCAGCAGACCGAGAAAAAACAAAGTCCCCGGATGTTGTTCTCACCCCTCCCTCCTTACCCAGCATGCATCAGAGCAGACTTGTCCATTCTTGAGATTGAAAGCTGTCCCAGCATGCACTGCAGCAGCAGCAGCTTTCAATGTAGTGCTCACAGAGCTCAGAGTATTAAGTTAAGAGGCAAGAACACTTTTAAGCATCACTATATGGCCCATTTACTGATTTAGTGCATCATTTAAAAAAAAGTTCTGATGTTGAGAGGACCGCGGCAACCAGGCAGTGGACCCCCGAGGCTAACGGCAGCCAGAGCTAATCCTATCCCGTCTGCAGCTGCCCTCTCTCTGCATAGCCGTGTATGAAGGACCGCTGTTTAATTTGGCAAAATGTTAGTTTGATATATGTGTGACTATGTGGAACTATTATTCCCCCACTAAATGAAAAAAAGTCAGAATTCATTATTATCTAGAGACTATTAATAACAGGAGGTGAAATGCAGCTCCAGATGAGCAGAGCATGTGATGTCATCAGTACGCCTCTGTTCCAGTTAACCCATATTTATGCTGCGTGTGCCTGTTCTCCCAGAGTCCACACTTTCCTCTGTTCTTCTCAATAACATACTTGGCGAGGACACAAGTCTGTACTCATGTTCTAGTGAATTGAGAAACTGCATACATTTCATCCCACATTTCAGACCTTAGCAATGGATAGCAGATGGAGCGAGCAGCAATGCGCCTAGACCAGCTGACCGACACAAAGGCATAGAATGGAGTGGTTTGAAAATGAGTCGGGAATTTTGTTCAGAATTATAATTTTCTGTCTTCTTTTTAAGGTGTTCCAGGTGAGGAAGGTTCAAGGGCCCCAAACAGGAAAAATCTTCGCCATGAAGGTCCTAAAAAAGGTGAGCCATTGCAGATTTGGGCTCATCTCGCTGCTCTCTGGATTGTTCTGCGCTCACCGTCTGTTTGTGACGCTGCAGGCAAAGATAGTCTGCAACGCCAAAGACACGGCTCACACACGAGCAGAGCGGGAGATCTTGGAGAAGGTGAGACACCCGTTCATCGTGGATCTGCTGTATGCCTTCCAGACGGGTGGGAAGCTCTACCTCATCCTGGAGTGTCTGAGCGGTAAGATGGCGCCCGGGAGTACAAAGATAAGAAAGCAAAGAAGGAGCTGTCTGTAGCTGTGCTGTGTTTCTGCAGGAGGAGAGCTGTTCATGCAGCTGGAGAAGGAGGGCATCTTCATGGAGGACACGGCCTGGTGAGATTCACGCTGAGCCTCAGAGCCGCATCACTTTGAACCAATTCAGCTCTAACGCTGTTTGTGTTTAGTTTCTACCTGGGAGAGATCACCATGGCCCTGGGTCACCTTCACTCTAGCGGGATCATTTATCGAGACCTGAAACCTGAGAACATCATGCTCTGTCAGCAGGGTGAGGAAGCAGAAGGTTTATTCTGCATGATATGACGAACCTGTTGGCGCTCGGCTGTTTGTACTGATTTGTTGATTTTTGGTTAGGACACATCAAGCTGACGGATTTTGGCCTCAGTAAGGAGTCCATTCATGATGGAACCATCACACACACCTTCTGCGGCACCATCGAGTACATGTGGGTAACCCTGCAGACCGACCCCAAACCCGAGCCCTAACCTACATGAACTGCACAAAGAAAAGCTGAGCTTGATTAATAACAGCCTGTGTAAAAAGGCGCAGATCCACTGGAGGTTTTATCTCCATGACGCATCACATCGGTTCTCAACTACAGAAAGGGAAAGTGAAGTAAGAATAGCAGAAGTGGTATTTTCTCTGACAAACTCAGTCTGTGAAGGAAACTTGCTGAAAGATTCAGCTTCCCTGGAAAAGCTTGAACTAATTGAACTGAATATTATGTGGGCTGCAGTAAAGTCTGGCTGCTGTGAACAGATATAACTGAACTGGCTCCTCTGTAATGTTACCTTTTGTCGATCTCTGACTGCAAAGGTCATTTTGTTCCATTATGGAAAAAACAAAACAAAATTAAATTTAGCAATGAAACCTTAAAGTCGTAGTGAAGCGGCTGTTCCAAAACGTTGTTTCCGAATTCTCCCGAGTGGTGCCCGACTTTACGCGAGTGAATAAAGTGAATGTGATTGGTCATTTATCAAGGGGGCGGGATTGTTGAGGCCGAAGGTTCGCAAACAAATTTGATTGTGGCCGGTTTGTCGGAAGCATCTTGCTAACCAGTTAGCAACTTAGTGCTAGTAGGTTCCCAATGGGAAATTCCATTGGGACCAAGTAGCTCTAAATTGGTGACTTAAAAACGACACTGTCAAGGAACGCTATGGACAGAGGAAACATGAAAGAGGAGGAGAGTTTAGTGTCGGAGGTTGTGGATGAGTCTCGTCCGTCATACATTTTTTATTTAGAGGAGGAAAGCGGGACGAAGATGTTGTGGAAGAGGATGCCAGGGCGGCAGAAGCTTGGATTGGTGTAGAAGGCTTACAGCCGTACATGTTTGAACCCTTGCCTCGCAACGCTGCCAGTTCTGTTAGCTCTATGCCTGCTGAAGACACAGACGTCCATCCCCGTGGGACGGAACTCCATGGGAAAGGAAATGATTCTTATTTCAACCGTTGCGTATATTAGCTGCGACATATGAATCAAGACGCTATGACCGAAATCATTTGATTGACAGATGATATTTGATATATGATTGGCCGAATTTAGGTGTTCAGGCTGACGTATAACTAACTGGCCTGCAGAAGATAACGGAGAAATAAAAAAACAGATTTTAAGACAGGATTTTGTCTACAGACAAACTGAGGATGTTTATCAGCTTAATGATAGTTTTCATCTGTTTCTTTGTTCAACTCTCAGAACTTGTTCTGTCTCTTTGCTCCAGGGCTCCAGAGATCCTCAACAGATCAGGTCACAACAGAGCAGTGGACTGGTGGAGCCTCGGGGCTCTGATGCACGACATGTTGACTGGATCGGTAAGCTGGAGGCCGCAGGGGAAGGATATTGATTAGTGGAGGGTTGGGGGACTCATGTCTCATTTCTTTAGTCTGAATTTAAACAGAGTTCCAGTGGGTCATTAAAATGAATTTGAAAAAACAAGTTTAAGACGCAAGAAAGTTTTTGAAATCAATTATAAAAAAAAAAAAAAAAAACACCCGTCCTTGTTTTAAGATATTTAAGAAAGTCCATGAATTATTTTTTTTTTTATTATTATTTGTGTATTGTTCATGCATGTAACTTTTCCACATGCATATTACATTTATTTCTTTATTTACATATATTACATTTAATAAGGTTTGAAAAGGGTACAATCCTGAAATAAAACTTTGACAAACGTTTTAATGAAAATGAAAATAAGAGTTTTTTTAAGAACTTTATCAAGATTAGAAAATTTTTCATATCTTACTTGTTTACATTTCTTGATGCAATTTCCATTACTTAAAATTATCTTTTTTAGATAAATTTTTATTGTTTTTTTAAACTATGTTTCACAGATGACATTCTCTTCCTTTCAAGCCCAATCAAATTAATTATCCGAACCACTAAAAATGTTGTCTCTAACGTTCGCACAGACCAACAGAAATGCTTCTGTGCTCCTCAGATCAGATTTTAATTTTCAAAATGTGTCTTTTGGTTTCGGCAATAATGGAAAAAAATCTACTCCACAGAGAGGAGCTTTTCTCCGCTCAGATTACTCCTAATAAAGTGTTTATCAAAATGCGATCAGGTTAAAAAGCACACTGCTCTGTTACATCTTTTATTTTATTTGAATCAATTTTACTGAGTCGATCTCTTAAATTGAGGGGCCCATTATCAGTGTACATCTTTAGATGTTTTTATTTAAGTCCAATAAAAACGACTAATCTTTCTTTTTAAAATATACAACTCACCACTAGATGGCATCGGTGAGCAATTGAATTTACCGCACATTTACTAGCAATTCATTCAGTTTTTTTTTTTTATTGAGAAAATATTCAGTGGTCTCAATCTTTCCCTCTTCCGTGTTTATAACCTGTGTCTTTTTACCTGTGATGTTTTCTGTTGCATAGCAACGGTTGTTAACCATTTGTTTGCCGTCTTCTCCCCCCAGCCTCCTTTCACGGCTGAAAACAGGAAGAAGACGATCGATAAGATCCTGAAGTGTAAAGTGAATCTTCCTCCATATCTGACGGTCGATGCCAGAGACCTGATCAAGAAGGTCTGTAACTAAAAAACACGCTGGAAGTTTTTCTGCACTAGAAACACGCAGGGATGCTTGGTTTCCCACTAGATCGATGCTTCAGGGAGGAAGTGCAGTAACTGTGTGCATATTTCTTTGTGAAATAGAAAATTTTTTGGATAAAACTAGAAGGCAGGATAGAAATATAAAAATATAAAACACAAGAACTGAAATAATGAATCTGGACATTTCTGGCATGTTAACTTTTCACCAACATGTGGGGATTGAAAACAGCAACATTTCCAGATTTCTCCTGGCTTGACTGGAGAGTTTGCCTCAGTTTGTAGCAGAGCATTAGCATCAGATGAAAGAGAAGTTCATTTCTACAAAAAAATATAAAATATCTGTGCATTAGATTAAAATAAAAACATTAGCAAAAATAAACTCAGAAATGTCAATGATTAAAGGAAACAAATGCCCAAATTTTAACCAAGATATATTCTGACTTTGAGAATCAATTCAGAAAACAGATTTTTCTTTTTAACTCAGCCCTACTTTACAAAGATTGGTTCGTACAAGCCGGATTTATTTTATTTAACTAATTTCCCACAGTCCTTCCAGCTTCCACTACTTTATTCATTTGCTGTTACACTAATAATCATGAATCTATTCTAAATCTCGAGAATCTGAACGGAATTGATTCCTGAAATTTGAATTGATTTCCAGCCCCTTTTATAAAGTCAGAAATTTACTTGAGAAAAGTTCATGGAATGTAAGAGGAAAAATTACTGAATTTTAAAGAAATACGAGTTTTTAATTTAAATTTTAATTCAATTTAGTTTATTTCTATAGCTCCAATTCACAACATATGTCATCTCAAGGCACTTTATAGAGACAGTTCAACCAGATCCTACAGTCAGATTGATTCAAAGTTTTCTATCTAAGGAAAACAGGTTGATTGCATCGACTCTTTGACTCGAAGGCAATCCTTCACACTGAGCATGCCCGTTCAGTTTCTTACAAAACTTCCTACAAAACATGCAGGAAGTATTGTCTAAGGTTGAAGTGATGCATTTAGATGGTTCCTGGTTGCATCCGCCGCTCAATGCAGAAACAGGCGGATCCTAAACAGAGGCCATGTCCTACTGAGGCAGACACGGGAACAAATCCTGCATGTAAACACACTTCAGGAAATGCTATAAAAGCAACTTAGATTTAAACCATATCTGGCATTTTGTGTTGGGAAATATTAGATTTAACACACAGTAAACCTGTTTTTTTCCTCTGCAGATTTCTGATTTTACAATATCAGAGTATATTTAATAATGGAAATTCCTATAATATTTTAAAATACATTTTTTGGCAGAAATTACACTTTTAAACTTTAGAGATTTTTTTAGAGGATTTTGTTTTGTTATAAGTAAAATTTATCTGTTTTCTGGGGACTGAAATGTACTTTTATTTTCCTTTCATCTACATATACTCCGCTGTACAGACAGGAACTTGTAAACAGTTTAAAACGCCTCATTCAGTCCTCACTTTTATTATTATTATTATTATGGCTGCAGAGCTTCATTCACTTTGATCTTTTCAAACGTCTAAAGGTCTCTGTGGTTCCAGGAACGTTCTTATTGACACAGAGCAGCATGGAAATAAACTCAGAGCTTGTAAACGTAAAGAAGCAGCAGCAATGAGCTTGAAGTTAACATGAATTAAAACAAAATGCAAAGATCAGAAATGCAAAGCTGTACTTGGAACTTTAGGTGATGACAAGTTTTGATTGTGATGCGAGGATCAGGAGAGGATTTATTACCTGGGAGGCTTAATGTTATTTAACTTTTATTATTAAAATATGATACTGGATAAAAATGGGATGATTTCATTTGTTTGTTTAAAAAAAAAAAAAAAACAGTTTGAGGTTTTTGTGTTTGTTGTTGGTTTGTTGTGCTATGTCGATAAAAGGCTTCTAGAGAATTACCCATTAGGACTAAAATGACATAAAAAAAAAAATATAGATTTAATTAATGGAAACCTATAAAACTCTGGTCAGACACGTCCTGGGTGGGATTGGTTAAGCAGAACATTACAGATAAAATCTACTTGAGTCCTCCAGTTAGTCATAAATTTCCTCTCCTCAGTTTACAGACAGGATCTTTCACTTAATTGTATTTTTTAATGACCTGCTGCCATCAGTTCTTAAATGAAGTTAAGAAGTCTCACTGCCAGAAGTTTCTGTGAAACAGAACAACTCTGCCCCCTGCTGGCAGAAACTGATGCTACAGTAGAGACTTGAAAAAACAGAAAACTCAGGATTAAATGGAAATCAGTGGTAAAGTAAATGTTGAAAAAAAAACCAACAACAAAACAAAAACACACCGCTGTGGAGATGATTAAATGTCTGCATGTTTGTATCTTTCAGCTGCTGAAGAAGAATCCGTCTCAGAGAATCGGTTCTGGTAAAGGTGACGCCGCTGATATCCAGGTGAATCCCAGTTACTGCAAACCAGCTGTGATCAATATAGAACCATGAAAACATCCAATCAATGATTAAATAACAACCTGTGTGGAAGAAATGCTTAGATAAAACTCAATAAACCTGAATAATATGTTTAATTTGACGTAAAAACTGTTTAATTTCTGGATTTTAGAATTTTTTTGTTTTTTCAAATTACAAAAACTTGTCTTTGCAACAATAATTGAACAGAATTCACCCCATAAGTTCCATCAGAGACCTGTCTGTGTGAAGCAGTCAGTGAAACTGCTGAATTCTGCTCAGTGTCTCTGGTGTTGGTGAAAAGAAACAGCTTCCTTGATGGGATTTTTTTTTTTTTTTTTTTTGCATAACAGCAAGTGTTTTTTTCTTTCTGTGGTGAAAAACGGCAAACAAAGCAAGAAATGTGATTTTTTTTTTTTTTTTTAAATAATGTTTAAAGGTTTGATAGAAGTGCTGCAGTTTGTTGACTTTCTCTTTTCTGCAGAAACATCCGTTCTTCAGGCACATCAGCTGGGAGGAGCTGCTGAATAAGAGAGTGGAGCCGCCATATAAACCCCAGCTGGTGAGGCTTCTTCTTCTGCAGCCATTATGTTTGCACGCTACTCCCACGTTATAAACTGCTGCCAGTTCTGTCCAGTTTCCAAACATCTTGCTCCTATTTTCTCTTATGTTTTCTCACTTTTTAAAACTGTAATTGGTTCTTAATGGCTTCCTTGTGTCTCTCTCCGCTGTGTGGCGTTGTCGTTGCCCTCCTGGCAGCATTCAGAGGAGGACGTGAGCCAGTTTGACACCAGGTTCACCAGACAGACTCCGGTGGACAGTCCAGACGACACCAGGCTGAGTCACAGCGCAGAGCTGGCCTTCGCTGTGAGCGGCTCTGCCTTCATCATGTTCTCATCATCAGCATGCGTCTACACCTTCTCATCTCTTTGTTCTCCTGCAGGGTTTCTCCTTCGTGGCCCCGTCGGTCCTGGAGAGCCTCAAAGAGGGGTTCTCATTTGAACCTCGGTCGCGTCACATGCGCCGCCACAACAGCAGCCCACGGACGCCCATCAGGTAACAGAAGGATCCCCAATAGCACTGAGGCGCCAATAAAGTCAAAGACAAACTGAGCAGCTTCTATAGGAAGGTCGTCCATAATCAGTCCTCCATGATGGATCCTGTGGAGTTATGAAGCTGAGACAGAGGCATTTCTTGCTAGAAATAAGATTAAAATTTATTTAACGTCCTCAGATGGAGAGAATCGGGCTCTATGCCTGATGCAAGCTCAGTACATACATTTATACCTTACAAAATCAATCACACACACACTCCCCCCTCACACTTGAACATTGAAGCAAAACAGCTTGAGTTCATCACGGCCAATTTCTGTTAGGTTAATATACACTATATTGCCAAAAGTATTTGCTCACCCATCCAAATTATTGGAATCAGGTGTTCCAATCACTTCCATGGCCACAGGTGTATAAATTCAAGCACCTAGGCATGCAGACTGTTTTTACAAACATTTGTGAAAGAATGGGTCGCTCTCAGGAGCTCAGTGAATTCCAGCGTGGAACTGTGATAGGATGCCACCTGTGCAACAAATCCAGTCGTGAAATTTCCTCGCTCCTAAATATTCCACAGTCAACTGTCAGCTGTATTATAAGAAAATGGAAGTGTTTGAGAACGACAGCAACTCAGCCACGAAGTGGTAGGCCACGTAAACTGACGGAGCGGGGTCAGCGGATGCTGACGCGCATAGTGCGAAGAGGTCGCCAACTTTCTGCAGAGTCAATCACTACAGACCTCCAAACTTCATGTGGCCTTCAGATTAGCTCAAGAACAGTGCGCAGAGAGCTTCATGGAATGGGTTTCCATGGTCGAGCAGCTGCATCCAAGCCATACATCACCAAGTGCAATGCAAAGCGTCGGATGCGGTGGTGTAAAGCACGCCGCCACTGGACTCTAGAGCAGTGGAGACGCGTTCTCTGGAGTGACGAATCGCGCTTCTCCATCTGGCAATCTGATGGACGGGTCTGGGTTTGGCGGTTGCCAGGAGAACGGTACTTGTCTGACTGCATTGTGCCAAGTGTAAAGTTTGGTGGAGGGGGGATTATGGTGTGGGGTTGTTTTTCAGGAGCTGGGCTTGGCCCCTTAGTTCCAGTGAAAGGAACTCTGAATGCTTCAGCATACCAAGACATTTTGGACAATTCCATGCTCCCAACTTTGTGGGAACAGTTTGGAGCTGGCCCCTTCCTCTTCCAACATGACTGTGCACCAGTGCACAAAGCAAGGTCCATAAAGACATGGATGACAGAGTCTGGTGTGGATGAACTTGACTGGCCTGCACAGAGTCCTGACCTCAACCCGATAGAACACCTTTGGGATGAATTAGAGCGGAGACTGAGAGCCAGGCCTTCTCGTCCAACATCAGTGTGCGACCTCACAAATGCGCTTCTGGAAGAATGGTCAAAAATTCCCATAAACACACTCCTAAACCTTGTGGACAGCCTTCCCAGAAGAGTTGAAGCTGTTCTAGCTGCAAAGGGTGGACCGACGTCATATTGAACCCTATGGATTAGGAACGGGATGTCACTTAAGCTCATATGTGAGTCAAGGCAGGTGAGCAAATACTTTTGGCAATATAGTGTATCTTTCACTGGTCAGATGGATCGTCTCAAAACCACAGTCCTCCCCTTCATGCCATGAAGGAAGCTGTGTGACTCATTCTTATCTCTCAGGACCTTCGTTTGGAGCCTGTGAGGCTAAGAACAGACATACCTCAACATGTTTTACTCCACAATCCCTTTATTAGTACCTGATGTTTTAGCACATCGAGCTTCAGTTTCCCATCCTCTGTTGTGTCGTTTCATTAAACTTTATTCCTGCTGCATACTGACAGCACAGTCCTGTTTGGTTACAGTCTGATCGAAACTGGTTTAGTTTTTATTCAAATTAAAACTATTAAAAAGTGACTGAAAGCTGAATTTAAAGCTAGAGAAGGTTTGTTAAAGAATAGGTAGAAATCTGGAAGTGTTGAGTCTTCCTGCTAGAGATGGACCCATAAGCCACTGTTTTTGTATTAGTATCAGTAACCCCTCCATGTGTTCAACCATGCGCCGAGATCACATGAAGCTTCTGCATTGCTTCATTTGTTGATCAATGTTTTGGTTTTGTTTAAATTTAGACCTTTATTTTTTATTATTATTATTGTATCATTTTTAATCATGTAGATGGAGGATGAAAAAGCAATACTGGCTCCAATAACTGCTAAAAATATCAGCAGCACATTTTGGGATCCGTTAGATTGATCTAAACAATCAGTTTCACATCAGCCCTAAAAACACCATCAATCCCTGGATATCTGGTTTCATTGTCTCATTTTTCATGGTTTCATTCATTTAGGGACAAAATAAAGCATTGAAATGATCTCTAATAACCTGCAGGAAGTCAAAGTCAGACTTCATAAACTGTTTCAGTTCAAATAAACACCAAAGTTTGAATCAAATTGAAGCTTCCAGGTCGACCATGTAGTTAAGGGCTTACTGAGAAATAAAATATAACGATGCAACAGACTGGAGACCCTAAATAATTATGTATAACCACTTCACTCTATATTATGTAAATATCAATACGTTTTATTTAGAGATTTAGATTTTTAAGCTATTTAAATGTATAGTTCATTTTAAATTAACAGTGGGACTCCATTAAAAAACAGGAGTGTGATTAACAGCAATGGATCGAATTTTAATCACCAACCTTTTGATTTAAAGACACCTTTGCCCCTAATTTATTAAATAAGTAATAAATGAGGACAGCAAAACACAAATTTATTGTTTCAATATCAGGATTATTAAAGTAAATTAAATTACCAGGTTGGTTGGAAGTTATAATCATTTAGCTTTTTTAAAACGCTGCCCATATTTTATGCCACTTTAAAAAAATGACTAGAGGTAATTAACGATACGTTAACATTCATTAAAGCACAACTCCTGCTGTTCAATGTGATAAAACCTCTATAGCAACAAGGCATACAGTGCTGCCTTGAAGAGTTTGACTTTTTCTGTAGACAGAAGGTAAAGTTTAGTTTCTAAAACAGAACTTTAGCAATAAATAAAGCAATCACTTTTGAGAGCTTTTGCTAATCCACACACAATATTTAGTGCGTTTAAAGCTTATAAACCACTAAAGCTACACCAGTTTTTTTTTTTTTATGCATTTAAATCTATACAATTATTTAATCAATATCAATGTGTTAAAGTCCCAACCCCCTTTGTAAAATATATTTTAGTCATTTAATTATTTAATGGTGTATTTTATCATTTACTTGCATATTTAAGTATTTATAATATATATAACATTTTAATCTTGTTTTAATGTAAAAAAAAAAAGCTCTACTTATTTCATGGTACATTTATTTGTTTCATGATGTATTTTGGCTCTTTATAAACCTCATCTGGAACTGCTGGTTTAGCTGATAAAATTATTTAGCCCCGTAGATTCCAGTCATATGCCAACTTCAGCACAGGCTCACTAAAGCCTCTTTACCACTGAAAATAGCGGGCTAACGCGTGTTTTTCAAACATGGGTCGACCCGCTAACAATCGGCATATGGCTTCCTTCCCATTGGCATAAAAAGCTGGTCTAACCCCTCGCTGGCATTTTTTCTGTTCTGCTTTCCCATTGCGGTGTCCATATTATCTGTAAAACTCCCTGCATAATTATAATAAAGCTATTTATATGCATAAATCAAGCGGAACACTACGTACTGCTCCACTTGTGAAAGCAAAATCTGTTGGGCTCTTTTTGGCATCAAGACAATTATTCTTATTGCCACATTGTTGCCACTGTTTTAAAAAGAAAAAGCCAATTGTTCCCGGGTTTAAACCGTTTTTTTTGGCCATTGGTAACTAGACAGATTATAATTCAAATATTTAGATTCAAATAGAACTAAACAATCTGAGTTTTAAGCTCATTTAAAGGGTTTTATAAGAATGTTTGATCAAATTGTTTGATGTTGATCAAGCTATTGTCTCACCGACACAAATTTCTTTATTAGAAGCTATAATTAGCAGATTTGAACACAGTTCTTTCCATCCTTCCTGCTATCGGCAAACATTATTATATAGTAGAAGAAGAGATAACGGCATTAGATGTGATCGAAGGGAGACCCCTACATGGTCATAATTAATGCATTCAGCGTTACTGTAAACATTGGTTAGGGGGCCGACTTTAGGAGTTTCCTTAAAGCATGTTACTGCCTTACTGTTAGCTGCTGAAATCTCTGCTCTCTAAGTTAATGTTGCCTGAATTAAATGAAGAAAAAAAGACCTTCTGTTTTTTTTTTTTTTAAGTTTTACATCTTAATGCATGTGATTTTATAAAATAATTGTCTGAACTATAAACCATTAAAACCAGTAAACACATTAGTAGTTCAATCTGGGGCGTTTTGATAAATGGTCCTTTTTTCTTCTTCTCTCAGTCCTCTGAAGTTTTCTCCTGCCGGACCCTTTAAGTCCAGCCTGGACGGGGAGCCGGACCTCTTCTCCCCCACGTCTCCACCTGCTGCTCCGCCTCGCGCCCCGCTGGAAAACGGAGCAGCCAGTCAGCCGATCAAGACGCCTTCAAGGAACAAGAAGAAGAAAGACCATCGGAGATGAAGCAGCAATCTCCCCAAGGTTCATTTCTGCTCCTACAAACGGTTTCTGCCCAGCGAGCGCCCAGGCAGGAGGAGTTAGGAAAGTGGATCAACAGAGATGCGTCTGAAAGCGGGAATAATCAGAGGAATTCTGCCTCTCCTGGGAAATTATCCGCAGATCGGCTCCCAATAAGTCCAGTTAACAAGAAAACAAAACGTCTGGACGTATTTAATTAAAAAAGGGCAGAGAGCTATTGATTTTCCTTTAGCAGCTTCCCTGTGAATTTATGATGGGTGGAGGGGGGGGGTGATGGATTGACTGGAAGCTCTGGTGTTTAATTACAGCGAAAGGAAGTAGTGATTTAAGGAGTCCACCAGAGCTGGAACATCTGGGCAGATGTTTAATTAGAGAAAATATGAAAACAACCTTTAGCCTCCAGGAGCTCTAACAGGATTTCTGCTTCTTTTTCCTTCTTCCTGTTTGGTGTTTCATTTATTTCTGCATGCGTGTAACGTGATGGGGAACCCTCTTCTGGTTGACGACTCATCGTCCAACACACCTTTTTTTTTGTTTTTTGTTCTTTTGTTGCCTCCAAAGGAGAACAATCAACCAATCAGAGCAGGCTCCGCCTTAATGAGACAGGAAGTAAAAAGAATCCTCGTCTTCGACTTTGAAATTCTGAGTTTGTTGAATGTGACATGGACTTTTTAGGACTGTGTGAATGTATATAGAAACCTACTGATTGGGTAATCATTGAATGTTAGGTTTTATGTTCTTTTCTTGTCTTCTGCCAAAGTTATTCACAGGATTTATCACCTGATCGGATCAAAGGGACTCACCCCATCATGATCTGCTCTAGACACGGTGCTCTCTGAAACAGAACTGTTTGGTTTTTTTAAACAAACTGTTTATGCAAAAACAGTGATGATCGGAGGAATATGATCGTGTTCTTCCTCAATCAGGAATCACTCAGGAAGGACTCAGAAACTAATCTGTTGTTCTGCTTCATCATACAGGCATCCAGAGCCGTATAAGGAACAGGTTATACATGCAGATGTATAGATGTTATTGATAATAATCATGTTTATACAGATGTTTGTGTCACTGTGTTGCTGATCACATCCCTATCCGATCCTCTGGATCCTTCTCTGCTGCTGTCTGTAAATGGAATAAATAGTAGAACATAGTTTAAATCGGATGTTTACATACTAATAGTTCAATATTTATTTTCTGCTATCGGATTAAATCAGAGTATTTTTTTCCTCTTTAACCAAAAACAATTTCTGTTAAGTAAACCGCAGAAAATCGTTGTTTAAATTCAGATCTTTACTGACTTCCTCAGTATTTTTGCAGAACTGCCAGCTAATCTTTCTAAACTGGGTCTGATGTTTTGGGGTTTCCTTCATCCAGCATTTTCATCCATTCCTCACAGAACTGGTGTAACTGGCTCCGATCTGCCATTACCAAACCTTTTCATCTCTATTTGTTGATTTCCTCCTGTACTTGGATTCTAGAGACATTCTGCTCTTTGTTCATCAGCTGTGTTCAAGCTTGAACTTTCTGACTTCTCGAGGTTTTGCTTCTGTGTTTACAGAAACGGTTTAATCAGGATGCCATGTTTTTCGGGCAGCGCACCAGTCCCTCCTCCTGTAAGACACTCGTATAACCACAACGCAGCCCCCCTGTGGGTTACAGCGGAGATCCTGTTCTCAGGGTTGGAAGCTTTCCTCCTTTTTCTGCCAAATGTGGCGATGGTAATTCTGACCAAACTACCAGACGTGTTTTTCGCCTTTACAGTGATGGCTTCTTCCTTCCTGCGTGGCCTTTCAGTCCATGGTGGTGCAGAACTCCTTTCAGCTGTAGATTAATCTTTAAGTTGCATGTTTTCCAACAAAACCTAGTCAGAGAGCTGCTCCTGCTGGTTTTACAGTTTGAATCTGGATGTTAGACACAATGATGGATCCGACTGGTGGAGGTCTACAATTCTCCTTTATTATCTTGTCTGATTTATATAGATCTATCTTTGACGTCACGTAAGGAAGCAGTTTGTTTAAAGTTCAGCTTTAAAATACATCCTCATGTGTGGGGCTGTTTTATTTGACCAATCAGAGGCCTGCAAGGCAAATTGTTTACAGGAAAATTCATTTCGGTGTTTGTAACTCTGAAGAAAAAATTATTTTTTTTAATCAAAAGTTTTGTTAATTGAGAAAACAATATTTTTACTTGAATTTTCTGATGGGAAAAAAAATCTTTCATCTGTAACTTTTGATTTGTAGAAAAAGATTGACGTAATTTGATTTCAACATATATGAATTTAGTCATTTTTTTAAAACAAGAAAGATGCTTTAAGTTATTGTTTGAGAATTAAAATCAAAGAAACAAGGTGAAATTAAAACGTATATATTTCTCACTTGTGCTTAGAGTCTAAAATGTTCTTCCTCTTAACAGAATCTAAAACTTTTCACCAGCTGATCAAAATAAAGAAAAGCTCCTCTGATTCTGTTCAGATTCTAAAGCTGCTAGTTTTTTTAAATTATTTTTATTCCCTTTATGTTCAGATGAAACCCATTTATTGCATATTTTCTGACGTTTCACAACCGTGGTTGAGTTTTAATTCAGGGAGCAGCCTTTTGTTCAGCGTCGAGGTAAACGGGTTGTTCATGTTGAAGTCATTTTCTTCTCCTCTGAGAACCCTTCATTCCTCAACAATTGGTCTGAGTTTATTGATGAAAATCTGTAAAATAAACCATGAAATTGTGAAACTTCCTCATTTTATTTTTTACTCATATGGATTTTTCTTTCCTTGGGGATCTCTTAATAACCTCATAGTGGTGAAAGGCCAGTCGGTTCTGTTCAGAAACCCAATCTCCCCCGGATGGTTCTCACTCTGGTGCCAAATTTAAATAAGTCCAGTTATTCTACTTTTATGTTTTTCTTTGAGGCTGAAACAAGATCTCCAGTATAAAAAAAACAACAAAACTGCTGGATTCAAAGAAGAGATATGTTTACTCTTTTATATTGAAATATTTTCAGTCTCCTGACCTGAGCTTCCATTAGAATTCAGATTTTCTTTTATATATTAAAAGTTATTTTCCAAATCCTCACTTTTTTCCATATCAGACCCGTCCTTCCTTTATTACTGCCATCAGTCTGCAGTATTTGGAAGCTCAATCCGCCTGATAACCATTGCTCCTACTTAAAAAAAAAACGGTACCTGTAAGTACTCAACTTACAGAAACCATCTTCATATATCTTTGAAAAAACAATTGCTTTGTGTTTTATTTTCAGTATTTATTAACATAATAATGAAATGTTATAGTATCTCTATGATGTTAAAGAAACATTTCACCTCTGGAATTGTATAAATCTGTAAAGACTAATGAAAAAAGAGTTTGTATTCAGGGATGTTTCCCATTTCTTCTAACTGAGAAATATTCTAAATAAAAAGAATTTGCTGTTATCGTGTTGATCTCTCATTGGCTGCAGGTTTATGCTAATCATAATCAAGTACAAGGCGACAGGAAGCAAGGAGACGCTAATGCACCCAGATGTTTGGGCAGCAGCAGGTTGTTATGTTTGAAGGTTTTCACCCGACGGCCTGCATTGGTTTAAAATACTATTCTGGGGGGAAAAAAGTAATAATAAAAAAAGAATCCACTGTTACTGTGAGAAAATAACCAGCTAAGATCAAATCAGTGCAAAATTAACAGACTATGGGCCGGATTTATCAAGATCCAATTTTGCGTGCAGTAATTTGCGCTCGCAAACTGGAATTTTGCGCGAGGGGCTGAACCATGGTTTGCGGGTGATTTAACAAGAGTGACTGCGTAACTGGTGGCAGGTGCAAAACTGTTGGAGACGCCCTATTTAAATGATGGTTTTGCGCGTTTTGTGGTTTGCGGCAAAGTAGTTTGTACAAACTGGTGCATTAAGAAATTTAAATCTTACAGTGATCCCTAACAATATATATATATATATATATATATATATATATATATATATATATATATATATATATATATATATATATATATATATATGTATATATATAAAGAAAAAACTTTGGCAACCTTTATTCCCTAAGGTGGTATGTGGCTGAATTTCTACTTCACTGCAGTAAAAAACAAAACAAAAAAAACAGGTGTTTTGTATTGGCCTGTAGAAAAATGCACATACCAAATGGCTCACAAGAAGTGACTGTGGATGAGATTACTGTGCGTACGCATCCCAGCAGCATTGGCATGTTGCTCCACAGGCGCAGGGGGGAGGTCGGGGTTCTTCGGTAGGGCGTCATTTAAAACGTCAGACAGCACTTCTGAAAAAACGAGATTGGGAGATCCCAGCTCTCGCTGCAACCGTACGCTGGAATGACCCAGATGCAAAAAAGTGCAATGTTGCAAGGAGTTTTGTGATATCTGGTATTGCGTGGGTCCTCCTTGTGGCTGGCTCCAAATCCATTCAGAGTTTCCCCAACAGCTCCAAAATGGCAATGCTGGATAAACGATATGTTTTGATGATCGTTTCCTCCTTCATTGCAAAAATATTCACACGGAGTGAAAAAATGCGTTCTCTGCGTCTCCTTGCTTCATTTCCATGTCTCCTTCTTGCGACAATAACCGCTGCCATGTGTGCGCAATTACGCATACAGACCATTTGCACCTTCTTTTGAAACGTGTTGAATATAGAGTCAGATACCGTAAGCAAAATTGCTTTCAGGTTTGATAAATCACTTTGCAAGTGCTAAATTAATATATTTACATGTTCTCCTCCCACAAGACACACTTTTGCGTGTAAACGCCCCATATTGCATATTCATTGCAGAAAAAGTACTAAATGGATAAGAGGCGCTATTTAGCACGTTTTAAAGACCAAATCCTTTTAGCACGCTGTTGATAGATCAGTTTGTACATTTTTTAGCATGCGCAGTGAAATAGCTCACGTTTTTATACACGCAAACCTTTGATAGATCTGGCCCTTTATCTCTCAGGCTGTAAGACAAGGACAGAGCAGCTCTGTCATTAATAATAATTGATTATTGATCTCACATTGGAGAAATATACCTCTGTATTTAAGCCATCCCCTTTGGGGGGGCAAAGTGTGGGGTTAAGGGTCTTTGCTCAGGAAACAAGACGGGAGACTGTGGGGATCGAACTGAGTACTTGCAACCTTCTCCAAGCCCAAGTGCAGTGCTCTGACCTCTAGGCCAACACTCCCTAAATGGATATTTAATGGAGAATTCACACCCAAAGCAAGCGCTCTTCCATTTGAACTAATTCCCCACAGTTATGGTCAAACACTTGCAATTAGTCTTGTTTTCGTCAACGATGACGGAATTATTTAGTTGATGCTTCTTTTTTTTTATGACAAAGGAAACTGACGAGCTAAACATGGTAGTTTGATGGCTAAAACATGACTAGTCATAGGTTTGAGTTTTTGTCAACAAAACAAGACTAAATAAAAATTAGTGGGTCGTTGGTGAGACGTTTAAACTGCATCATTGTGCTGTAATCAGCTAAGCAATATCAGCTGTGCTGCTGCGTCCTGTTTGATCCTGCCGTTGCACATTCTGCAGGAGCACAGATGGATCATGGCAGCAGTGGCTGGGTCCGAGAAAATAATCCGGAATGGTCCGGTACTGTGCGCTTAACACTGACAAACTCTGCTCTTCCATCTGTGCTTGTGCAGAAATGCGTCTTTACGCGTGGAGCTCAGAGTCTGCGCTTCACGCTCCACTCTGATGGTTCAACCTATTCTCAATATGAGTTCGTATGAAATCGTACGAAAAGTTATGCACCGTAATTTCGTACGTTTTGGACGTTTTTTTTTGTGGTATGCGCATACACATCTGA